AGATGGGAGAAATCTACAGAAGGACAAACATCACTGCAACACTCCACCGATCTGGGCTTTATGGCCGTGTGGCAAGACTCAATCCTCTCTTCAGTTAAGACACATGAAAACACACTTGGAATTTACAAAAAAACACCTCAAGGACCTTCAGACTGTGAGAAATAATATTCTCTGGTATGATGAACCTCAATTCTAAGCATAATGTTTGAAGGAAACCAGGCACTACTCATCACCTGCAGAGTACCATCCCAAAAGTAAAGTGTGCTGGTAGCAGCCTCATGCTGTGGGGCTGTTTTTCAGCAGCAGGGACTGAGGGACTCGATAATTGCCAAATGCTGATGAGCAAAGCTTTTCGCATCAAACAAAAAAAAAGACTTGAGACTGTAAAGGTGATTCAGCTAAATATTTAGTTATATAAATATACTTATGCAATATACTTTTTTTAGTTTTTTTAGTTTTAATAAATTTACGAAGTTGTGACAATTCTGTTTTTGCTTTGTCAGCATGGAGTATGGAGTGCAGATTGATGTGGAGAAAATAAAGTAATTTAAAGCAGTTTAACATAAGGCAGCAACATAACAAAATGTGAAGAAAAAAAAATTATGGGGTATGAATACTTTCGCAAGGCACTTTATTTATTTATTTATAATACCAATGGGTATTTTATTGACTGTATTTTCTCACTTTGCTCTTTTTGTCAGTTTTAATGTTGTATTTTTAATTTCATTTTTATTATTGGCATCTTGCAAAATTATTGTTTAGGCCAGTCTTGTTATTGTTAATTAGCACTAAAACGGCTAAATATAATTTCTGGTAATTTAAATAAAGCTGAAATAAAATAAAATATATAAATATTAGATGTAAAACTTTGCCTCGCCTTGGCAACTACCTGAAAAAAAGTTGAAGTACTTAAATTGATAAAACTAAAACTGTATATACGGATTAAAAAGACAAAAGCACATAAAAATTATAATATTTAACATAAAAACGAAAGAAAATATAAAAATAAAAGCTGATTCAAAATAGGCATAAATACTATAATAATATGAATAATACTAAAAAAAACACTGGTTTAGACCACTCTAATGCAAGAATTTTTCATAAACTGATTCCTGTATCTACCTTTTGTGTTGATGTAGATGGTGAAGGCGATCCAGGTGTTGCGGATTCACCTGCTGGAGCTGGAGAAGGTGAACGAGCTCTGTAAAGACTTCTGCAACCGTTACATCACCTGCCTCAAGACCAAGATGCACAGTGACAATCTGCTACGGAACGACCTGGGCGGCCCGTATTCACCATCACAGACCAACCTCGGCCTGCAGCAGGTCACTCACAAATACAATCTCCCTAGACCTTCAGTCTAAAGGCTAAAGGTTGTTTCTAACACATAAACACAGTGTCATATGAATGCACAAACTCTCACACCAGTAACATTTACACTTGCACGAACACAAGCTCCTCTCCCGGGGATGCAAAAGGTCACATCTGGCTTGCCCTCGCTGTGTTCCTGCTGAACTTTGCTGACCTCTGCGTGAGAAGACTTAAAGTACACACTTTTGGACATTTCATGTAGAACAGTCAATCGATTATAATCGAATTAAAATGCCCATTAAATGATCAGATTAATCAGAATTAATCACATATACTTTACTGTTCAAAAGTTTGAGGTCAATAAGATTTTTTTATTTTTTATTTTATTCAGTAAGGACACTTTAAATTGATCAAAAGACAGTAATAGTAAAGATATTCATAATGTTACAAAAGATTTCTTTCAAATAAATGTTGTTCTTTTGAACATTCTATCCATCATAGAATCCTGAAAGAATGTATTGCAAAAATATAAAGCAGCACAAATGTTTTCATTATTAATAGTAATAAGAAATGTTTCTTAAGCATAAAATTAGAATAATTGAGAGATTTCCTTCTGAAACTACAAAATCTTACCAACCACAAAATTGTTAATGGTAGTGAATTTGCCGCAAAGAAAAAAAAAAGATTATTTAAACTATTATATTTAGTTTATTCATTATTTGTTGTTTATTGTTTTATTTATTGATCTCTTATTATTTATTTATTGATCTGTAAATATTAAATATGTATATATATATATATATATATATCATGTATAGGGTTAATTTATGTTTTATTTCTTGACTTTATTTATTTTTTTATTTTTTTATTTTTTTATTTTTTTTACAATTTATTATTTTTAATCATACTAAACGAACGTTAATTCACCAACCCTAATTTTTACAACATGCATAATTAACTGTGCTCATTTTTATTAAGTTATTTATTCTTATATATATTTAAATAGTTTTTTAAACTATTAATTGTTTTTTAATCACACTGAAATAACATGTTAAATTGACAGCCATAATGTCTACCACAGTCATAATTAATTGTCAATTTTTATTTTTTTTTAAATAGTTTTTTAGCAAATAATTATTTTTTTTAATAATACTAAACAAACATGTTAAATTGGCAGCCCTAATTTAGACCAAATTTTTTTTCCCAAGAAATTGAAATGTGAACACTAACCAGCGTTTCGTCCTCCTCTTCAGGACCTGCTTCAGAACTCATCCCCATCCCTCACCTCTGTCTCCAGCACAGTAAACCCCTCTGGGATCGTGGTCCCTGCCGGTTCGCTGCAACAGAACAACGTTGCCATGACCACTATCAACTCTCAGGTGGTCTCAGGTGAGGAGGCCAATCATCAGTCCCTTTCGCTTGCTATCAATTCAGAGATCTCAGCTTTCAGAGAAGCTTTTCTTTCCAAATTCGTGACATCTAATGGAAGCAAATGCAGACTTCCATGTACATTATCTACATTTATATAGCTCTTTCTTTACTAATTTTCTCTCTTTACACAGAACAATACTTTCACATTGTAAATAAAGAACGTCTAATTACTGTAAAATCAAGCTAATTAGCGTCAAAACAAGAACTCCTTGTTCTCCTCTTGAGCCACTCCGAATATCCTTTTGTTTTATTTTGGTGCAGTGAAAGGGAGGTGAAATGGTTTGTTTTTGTGCTGCAGGGTAATTAAGGTATGTTTTCAACAGGCAGGTAAAGTGTGTGATAATGGCGCTCCTGTGTCTGTGACTGATTCCCTCAGGTGGGACGCTGTATCAGCCGGTGGCAATGGTTACCTCACAGGGGCAGGTGTTGACCCAGGGGTAAATAGTTTTTTAGCAAATAATTATTTTTTTTAATAATACTAAACAAACATGTTAAATTGGCAGCCCTAATTTAGACCAAATTTTTTTTCCCAAGAAATTGAAATGTGAACACTAACCAGCGTTTCGTCCTCCTCTTCAGGACCTGCTTCAGAACTCATCCCCATCCCTCACCTCTGTCTCCAGCACAGTAAACCCCTCTGGGATCGTGGTCCCTGCCGGTTCGCTGCAACAGAACAACGTTGCCATGACCACTATCAACTCTCAGGTGGTCTCAGGTGAGGAGGCCAATCATCAGTCCCTTTCGCTTGCTATCAATTCAGAGATCTCAGCTTTCAGAGAAGCTTTTCTTTCCAAATTCGTGACATCTAATGGAAGCAAATGCAGACTTCCATGTACATTATCTACATTTATATAGCTCTTTCTTTACTAATTTTCTCTCTTTACACAGAACAATACTTTCACATTGTAAATAAAGAACGTCTAATTACTGTAAAATCAAGCTAATTAGCGTCAAAACAAGAACTCCTTGTTCTCCTCTTGAGCCACTCCGAATATCCTTTTAGAAAATCTATTTTTTTTAGAAAAAATATACATAATTTCTATTACATTAATTAAATTAATTCATTGTACTTTTATTATTATATTTTCTTTATTATTAAATAAAAGAAACAAGTTATTTAAAATTATATATATATGAATTTATATATACAAATATTATGAATTGCTTTTGTTCCGCTGTCATTACTAGCTTTTTTTTTTAGAAACAATTTATATATGCGCATATATGCTCTTTTGCTCCTCTTTTATTACTCGCTTTTTTATTGATGAAGTCAAAGTTCAAGCTGATTGGTATTCCACATTAATGCTTGCCGTGTAGTTTACATTTACATTTACATTTAGACATTTAGCAGATGCTTTTATCCAAAGCGACTTACAAATGACGACAATGGAAGCAATCAAAATCAACAAAAGAGCATTGATATGCAAGTGCTATAACAAGTCTCAGTTAGCTTAATGCAGTACACGTAGCAAGTTTTTTTTTAAACCATGACCACTATCAACTCTCAGGTGGTCTCAGGTGAGGAGGCCAATCATCAGTCCCTTTCGCTTGCTATCAATTCAGAGATCTCAGCTTTCAGAGAAGCTTTTCTTTCCAAATTCGTGACATCTAATGGAAGCAAATGCAGACTTCCATGTACATTATCTACATTTATATAGCTCTTTCTTTACTAATTTTCTCTCTTTACACAGAACAATACTTTCACATTGTAAATAAAGAACGTCTAATTACTGTAAAATCAAGCTAATTAGCGTCAAAACAAGAACTCCTTGTTCTCCTCTTGAGCCACTCCGAATATCCTTTTGTTTTATTTTGGTGCAGTGAAAGGGAGGTGAAATGGTTTGTTTTTGTGCTGCAGGGTAATTAAGGTATGTTTTCAACAGGCAGGTAAAGTGTGTGATAATGGCGCTCCTGTGTCTGTGACTGATTCCCTCAGGTGGGACGCTGTATCAGCCGGTGGCAATGGTTACCTCACAGGGGCAGGTGTTGACCCAGGGGTTACCACAGGGAACCATCCAAATCCAAAACAATCAGGTGAGGGTAACCGCTCATGCTCGCAGGGCTGTATCTTCACAACTAATGAAACTCTAGAAATCTGTTGAATTATTTCTAAACTACAGCACCATGTCTACAACACTGAATCGCTGCTGTTGCAAAGAGGCAAAAGATGTGGATATCCATCCACTTTATATCTTCTATCTATATTAAATATAAAAAATATATATATTTTTAAAATATACATATTATATAAATATTATTTGTTGTGCATTTACATGGCTTCAGACACTTTTATATATGTTTTATATATTTTGATGCCTGCTAATGATGACTCTTTTTGAGGCCTATTAATTTAGAGCAGCATTGGCCTATTCATGAGACACAAGCAGAACAAATTTCTGTGTAAATAATTAATAAATCCATTCATGCATTAATTGCCCCATTAAGTGAATGCAACATTCATGTAAGAATTGTTTTACATATTTATTTAAGATTATGAGTTTTTAAAATGAATTTATATTCATTTAATATATTTATTAATTAATTTATTCGCATATTGAGCTCTTGCAGATTAAGCATCTTAAACCTCAGAATGGTGTAAACCAAAAGAAAATAGTGAATTTAGCATGCATCCAGTAAAACGCTCTTGCATTTTTGCTTGCCTTACTTTTTTTTTCTCCATTCGTTTCATTAAAGCCCAAAATTGGGAAAATAAATAAATCATAATAAAATTCTAAATTGTTATCATTAAAATTGTTATTATTAAAATATAAAAAAAATATTTATGTATATATATATATATATTATTATTATTTTTTTTTTTTATAAAGAATTGAATTAGAATAGAGAGTGCTAGAGTTAGAGGCTCAAATAAAGATGGAAGAGATGTGTTTTTAGCCGATTCTTGAAGATGGCTAAGGACTCAGCTGTTGGGATGGACATGGGCTTGTCCCCCAGGAGGAAAGTATTAATTTAAAAGTCCGTAAA